ATATATATGTGTGTGTGTGTATATATTTATATGCATGATGTTTAAACTGATAGGATCAGGCCGATATGACTCAGCCTAATAGCCTTGTAATTACCTCATCAACAGTAACCTGCAGCAGCGACTTACATCTCGTTTTCTAGATTCTAGATTCTGCTGCCCTCTTCTGGGGGCCTCTTCTTCTTGTTCTTCTGAGAATTGTTAATAAATCAAACTGATGCATAAAAATATTTTGATACTCAACAGAAACATCTAGCCAATAGCAGTTAAATCATATCTTATTTTTCTCCATCTTCACCATCCAGGCCAAGCAGAATGAGCTGGAAGATCTGAATAAGGAGCTGAGGCAGTGTAACCTGCAGCAGTTTATTCAGCAGACAGGCGTCCTGCCGGCTCACAGCCACTCACGCACAGAGCTGCAGGAGCAGCTTGAGCAGCTGGAACTGGCAGCAGGTAGTGTGGACGCTCCAAACAGTGTAAGGTATTTTTTTCTTATTGGTCATTCTCAATGATTTTTCTCTTTTCTCCTTTCAGGCCGCAGTGTAACTCCCGTGGAATTCCCCCCTCGTCCGACAGCCAAACAGTTTCTAGGACATCCTCGGAACCTGCAAAACCCTCTTGTGTCCAGTCTCAACCCTGAGGGTGTGTATGTGTGAGACCCTGCTGCTTCCCACGTCTCCATCACCCGGTCCCAAGCCTCTCGCCCCTAAATCTACTCCAGCTTTCTTGGGCTTAAGGCTGATGCTTTCAATAATGGTGTTCGAATTATATGTGTACCGGTGGTCTCTCCTACTTCTTAACTTCCCTTTGCTCAGCCATTTCAAGATGAAAGGCTTTCCTTTAACAGCTCTCCCTCATTCCTGTCTACAGCTTTTTACATCTGACGCAGTCTTCCACGTTCTCCTTTTTAATGTTTCTCACATCCTTTTAAGCTTCGATTCACAAGGGGTTATGTTCTCTGTACTTGCATGTCCTCGTTGCCTTACACTATTTGCTTCTGGACTAACCGTAACCGCTTCTGTTATACTTTAATGCATCTTGGGATTTGCTGCTAATCCCCTCCTTTGTAAATCCGAGTGGCCTTCCCGCCCTCAAGTCAAAAAATCAACTTCTTCTCTGTATCTCAATGTAACCCATTGATCACACTGCAAATGACTGTGCCAGATGTTGTGATGGTGGGTTTGATTGAGGTGTTGCTGTTTGTTTTTTACTGATTTGGGGGAAAAAAGACCAATATAATTGCATTAATCTACCTGTGAGGGCATGTCTGATCCCAATGCCTTGTACTTTGGTGATGCTTGACTTCCAAAGAACAAGAGCTTTTCACTGTGGGTTCTGCAAATGTGTTGCATACTCCCCTTCTCCTCCTGTTTTAAACCATTTGGCCTTGTGTACTTACAAAGAAATTATCAGGGATGTCTATTTTAACCAAGACTCTTGTTTAAAAATACTACTTGTAGAGCCACAGATGTTGGGTTTACTGACATGCTCCTTTTGTTCTCTGGGACAGTTGTACCTGCTTGTTTTGCTTAACTTCACACTAACAGTTCGACCTGTCATAAATCGCACTATGCCTTGTACGATAGAATCAAGCTAGGCTTGTGTACAGTAAATTAAAAAAGGTACTTTTACTACTTAAATTGTTCACTTTTTGTCGACCACAAACTTCAAGATATTTTACTGGGATTTATTTCATTGACTTATATATATATGTATATAATTAGTCCACTGAGGTGGAGATTATTGTCACAATAAATAAATGAATCCACCTTCTAATTTGCATCATGAACTCACATAAGAAAGGGGAGTGATAAAGTCATAAGACATTTTTAGGCTGGAAAGAAAACCTGCAGCCACACGGCCCTTTCTGGAATCAGTTTGACACCCCTAGTCTAGATAAATTCCAGATCTAATCTAACTGCGCATGTTTTATTTAGAGTACTGAATGTCTCAATTTTTCGATGCGTGATTGTAAAATATTTTAAGATGAGCATTTCTCTTCTGCGTCACTGCGTCTTGTTCTTGAGGTTTGTGGCTACACTCAGATATAAATTTTAAAAGAAAAAGGGAAGAAGCACCCAGAGTCATTCATTTTCCATTTCAAACAAATCTGACAAAACATCAGAGCGTGATGATTGGTCAAACTGTTGTGTGCCTTGTGTGCATCTCTTTTACATTTGCTGTGTGGTTGATTTTTTTGAGGTTTGAGACAAATGATAATATTAATTCATTTAATGTCAACTATTTATATCAAAATTATGTTCTGACAGCAATCATTGAGTTGTGATCCATAAAATCTATGAGCGATTGAATGAACCCAGCAGCCGCTGTTGTCTTACTGTGTTCCGTGCAGGCCTGTCCAATGAATCCAATTCACTAATGATGTATCTTAGCTAAAAAATGTGTTACCCCCTCCAAAAAGCACCCCAAACAAAACAAAGGGATCATCATCCCCCACTTGTCTTTGTGTCTCTTACAGTCCTGACATCCCGAGAGTCGTCATGGAGATAAAACACGGACCACAGGGCCAAGGGAAAGTTGTTCACTTCTCGGTCACCGTCGCATCTTCTTTAACCCCTTTTTGCTTCCTAACATTTCCATTCCATATTAATACATCTAACACTTTCTTTATATAAATACAAAAAGATATATTTGCAAAGTTTTGCTACTGTAAGCATTTCAAAGTATCTGTACGAAATGTAAAATAATTTAGGAATCTTTGAGCAATAGAGATTATTACTATTACTGTGTATTTAAATAATAAAATGTGAATCGTGTATTAGAAATTCTTTTGTTGAGTGTTTATTTATTTATTTAAAAAAAATAGGATTATAATAAAAGCTTTTAAAAATATGCAGCTATAATTTTTGGATATACTAACATGCAAGTGTGCATTTATTAAAAAGTAAAATACTGCATATAAATGTATAATAAACATATATTTAAGAGTATGAAGTATGTATACTTTTGATTGCACTTGCTGTTTAATGGGTTCATGGTTTCTTATAATGATTTCTAGGCATTAATATGTAACTGATGGAAATCTCTTGAGGTGCATTGTTGATGCAGAAGGAAGTGAGGCAAAGATTCCAGCTGTTGCTCTTATTGAACAGATGATAGTTAAACAAAAATAAAGGAAACACATCAGCATCACCAAAGGGCTCCGAGGAGAATCCTAAAAAAGTATTCACACTGCTTGAACTTTTTTTTGTATGTTCTGTCACTCAAAATAGCAAATAAATTGTATTTTGATGTATTTTTTTCCCCAAAGAAAACATTAAATTGCATTCAATCTTGTTTACTGTGACTCAGCAGCAGACTGAAGGCCCCCTGGTAAAACTGAAGGGGCTTTGAGATCCATGATTTTAAAAGGAGAATTTTGTCTTCTATGGAAGAGTAGTCAACAGAGAATCAAGTTTGAAGAAAAGCCATCTTACTTCCCTTTCAAAGTTTCCAATAAGCCACATAGAGGACACAACCAGCGTTAGGAAAAATGAACTCTCCTCAGGTGATTCTAAAGTTGAACTTTTAGGCCAAAATAATTGTGATTTGCATATTGCTGCACGCAGGGCAATCTTGGATGAAGAGCTGTGGGAAATCTTCAAAAGACTTAACTATATGTCAGAGGTTAAGCTTCCAGGAGGACCGCAGGACTCGATATTCTGAAATTGAAATTTAGTTCTGACTCAGCTTGAACTTTCTGCAAAGACGAATGGACAATATTTTCAGTGCAGAGACAAACCCCCCAAAAGACATGCAGCTGTAGATGCAAATGTCTTTAATTGTTAACAATATTGAAAACAGTATTTTTCTGGTAATGGTGCAAAAAAAAAAAAAAAAAAACATCAATAGGTATGATAATTCTATGAGGCGCCTCGGGCGGTTTTATATTTAAGATTAATAGTTTCTGCACAAACCAAGAACATTAATGAGAGTTCTCTCTCCTTGAAACACTGAAAGATAAATAACTCTGGGCTGTGACAGTTTATCCTCAGGGATCATAAATCGTCATCATGTAAGATAAATACACAGCCACTTAGGTCCAGTGCACCACTTGTGTCCTCCACCCCATTGCTCTGTTTGTTTACCCTAGAGACCAACGCTGCTGTCTGTCACACTGAGTGACGTAGACCTCCCTATGTGCTCTGACTGACCCCGATCTAATACCCTGTGGTTTTCTAAAAATACCCTCCTCTAACCACTCAGGCAGGTACATCATGTATCCATGTTATTTCTTTTTTTTTAATGTTTGTTGTTCTTTATTTCTACTTTGCAAGCATAAAAACCCAAAAGCTGTGATAACACTGTTAACTATGCAGAACTGGATGATTATGAGGAGGTTTACAACTGTCTGGATTTGCAAGGGTTAGATAAGCTTCCAATCCTTGTTTTGTCTCTTGTCTTCTGTCTGGACAAGACCAAACACTAATGGAACATTGGCGCCCTCTTGTGGACACGGGGAGTTATAACAGGCATTCTTGTCTCAATGTAAATGGGGTTTTTTTTGTATCCCACTTTCTGTTTTATTCCAATTTTTAAATCTGAGGGCTGCTTTGGAATTAATTCCATAATTTTAGATTTTATTTTATGTATGTAAGAAACATTTCACACTGAAACTAAACCCAGAAGTCTCCAACCCCAGAATGAGATGTTATCAGATTATAAAGCTGTTTTTGTTTTTTGTTTTTTTTTTCAGGGCTCGCTATTATGGGAATTATGCATGGCTTTATGTGTTATCTTTTTTTAGATGAAAACTGATCAAAATGAGCATCTGGATAAACAATCCTCGCCTTGAGGAGGAGGGTGAACATCTGCACGTCCCATAGTAGGATGTTGATGACAGGAAGCTCATGTTAAAGAGCCTGACGGATGCGCTCTTGTTCTTATTCCTCTGTCACAATGACTCATCGTGTACAACTGAAGTGGGAATTATAAAAAACTTTTAAATTCTGTGAAGACATGCGCGACGTGACGACAAAATGAGCGGCAGATGATGCAACAGGTGATTTGATTCATAACTTTAATTCTTACATTATGCACATACAAATACACATTGAAAAGACTACAAGAGGCAAATATTCTTTAAATTTATGCAAAAGTCAGAAGAAAAAAACCCAACAATATGAATACGTTTAGGCATTATATCAAATGATAATTATAAAAGGGTTTAGATGTAGATTTCAACAACATAGATCCATTTTTGGACTTTTAAAAATAAATATTCAGTTACATTTTATATCTATTTGGAGAGTTCAGACAGGAAAACAGTATAGAAGGATAAAACATCTTGTTCCTGCAACCAGGATGTCTGAAGGCCTCAGCAAATGGGCCTACACCTTTTGTCGCCCTCACATCCCTGTTTTAAATCCTCTTAAAGTAGAGAAACTCTGCAACAATGAAATAGCCAGTTTAAATATCACTTAAGGCACTAGTTAGATATTAGATAGCAACTGATAAATAACTTTCAGTGTTCTGGACAGGAAGCAATATCTCTTTTATCCAAAACTGCTACTGATGTAACATTAACTTCCAGGTGGCCTAAAAAAAGAAACCTCAAATTTTTCATCATTGACAGGAAAACTGATCACAACCAAAATTGTGAAACTGAAACAGAAAAAGAACTCACCAGCAGCCTCAAGTGATGGTAAGGTCAACTGGGGAGGCAAGCAAAAGCCCCCTGGGTCCTAAATAAGGTATCTCAAAAGAGTAGGAAGTTGGCTTCAGTACAAGCAGAGACCACTGGGAGGGCTTTAGAGTGGAGCAGGCCTTTCCCAGGACATGATCTAGAACAGCATGTACATATAGGTGTCAGCCTTATCCGGCTGAGGCTGGTCTGAAGAAGAGGTGGAGTGAGCGGTTTTCCCAAAACCAGGTTAGCCGCTGTCACACGCACAGTGGAACTGGCAACTGGCACAATGTGCGTTAGTCAGTGGCTTACCTGCTTTTAGATCTCAGAGGTTATAGTGACAGCGTGCAGGCCCACACACTCTGTAGAGGAGAAACAAATACTGTTATCATTCAATGAATCAAATTAAACAATCAGGATATATATACATATTGTATAAGAAATTAATGATAACCAAAAAAAATGTAGATCGTTTTTTTTTTTATTCTATTGCCATAACACTCTAATAGAGAAATCAGCAAAAGTGAAATCAGATCTGACTTCCTGTTCAGGATGTATGGATCATTCTATATAATGAATATGATTCTAATCATGTTGTTTTTTCATTGATAAAGAGAAAGTTTCATTATCACAAGTTGTAGGTTAAACACCACATTAATACACATGTAACAAATTGACATCTAATACAATAATTAATCTGTTCTGTTTAAAAGTATATATAGATCATATATATATAGATATATATATCTATATAGATATATATAGATATAACATATAGGCTATATATATGTTGAGAAATGTACAGATACTTACCAGTCAAGAATATTTATAGTGTAAAAAAGTTCAGTTCCAACTGATACGTCCTGATATATCCAAATTCTAAATCAAACAAAAATAAAAATATATATATTTTTTTCTTTCACTGATTCTCAAAAATCTCAGCGCAGGATTAAAGTCTGGCGCCTTTAGATTTATTCTTAAGCCGATACCGCCGCAGAAGTTCAGTTCACTTACATTCCCCCTGTACTGCCCACTCCCCTGCATCCTCAACCCGACCTGCTTATGCAAATGACGAACAAACCGACGTCCCGTTCAACCAATCACACCTCACCCCGGAGTCAATCGTCCCGCCTTTCGGTAAGAAATGACGTATCCGCAGCTATGTGGGTGGGGCGTTCAAGGACAGCATGTTCTGTCGATGTCCGAATTGTAGTTGGGGTGCGGTGCGTTCGTTTCTGCACGTCGTACATCAGGAATGAACCATTACCTTCTTAACAGTTTCCTGCCTCGCTTCGCAATTGTGATGCACATCTGTGCGATTAAGGTTCCTTTCCCTTAAACAGACATCCTGGAACACGGCGGTCGCCACATGAATCTGGTTTGCGTGGGTTTAAAGCCGTTTTGACTGCGCGCGCTCCGACCCCTCCGGTGTGGAGTGGTTGAACTCGGCTTACTTTGTGTACTGTGTTGCCATGAGCGGAGTGTGGCTGTGCACGTACCAAGGATGCTGCATGACAGTCTGATCTGATGATGACGAGGAGGAAACACTCAATTATTTACATCATCAACTCAACATTATACGTGTATAAGAAAAATTAAGTGAAATTTGGATAATTTACATTTAAACATAATGGAAAAGTAAAAACACCAAATTAAACGTTGTTTAAATATATTTTTATAAACTAAAAACTCTGGCCCATGTGATGACTAAAATAAATTAAATTGTACTGATTCTGTTCAAAATAAGACATCTGGACTTGTTTATTTTTATTATTATTATTAGTAGTAGTGGTAGTAGTATTAATTCATACCGCACTGGATTACTTGACCTCACGGCGAACCGGACTTGCATGCCTATTATGTAACAGTTTATTCTGTCATTCATGTAGGCCACTAGGGGGCGACATATTCAACGGATCTCAAATTAAGTCAAAGGGCTCATGTCATCTTTTTTTTGTATTATTTGGTTAGCTTAGGGTGTTGAAATCTTCAGAAATGATACCAAAATAAATCATATTTCAATAAATTGATTGATTGACTTTATTTTGTCTTATTGTGGGGAAATGTGCTCATTAAATCAGCTAAAATAGTCAACAAAGAGAAGAAGAAGGTGCCAAAGGAAGAAAAAGGTGCGTGGAATAAAAACAAAATACCGTATATACTATATATCACATACTAAACGAAATATATTTCAAAAGCTACTTACAAATTTTTATTGGTACATTTGCCACTGATGTGGTTTGTGTTTTCTTTGCAGCACAGTTTAGTTAATTTCTGGTATGCCTCATCATTTTAAAACATTTTTATCTCTTACTTCCTAAAGATTTTACATGCTAATGTAAAATCCAAATTGGTTAATTCTTATTGAAATTTATTAGCTGATATAGTCACAAACACACAAACAAAACTCAAAAACATTTAAAAACACACTTAAACCAACTCATAAGGATTAAAGCATACTATGCACATATTTAATATCTAAACTGTTTTGTGATTCTTTGTGTAGCTCAGGCAATATTATCTTAAAACATACTTTTTAAACAACAGCAACAGAAAGAAAACTTTTAACTTTCAATGGAGCGCTCTATTGAAAGCTGCTGCTGCCGCAGTGCATGCTACTGTTCTATAGTTGTTGCCATCTTCCTTGTTGTGCTTTCTCCAGCATCGCGCAACTTTGTCGTGACGCCCTCAAAACCCCGCCCGCTTTGCATCCAGCCATTCAAAACACATCTCTGCGTTGTGATTGGCCAGCCAGATTTAGGGCCTAGGGCATTGATTGAGGCTAGAGAGAAATTGCAGGCAAAAATGATTTTGGCCGCTGGCAGTTGGGGCTAGTTTACTAGGCTACATGTCACTCACAAATATGCACCTGATTCGATGCAAATTTGAGTCAAATTGTTAAAAAAAATATATATATAATAATTTCACATAAAGGGGGGCTCTCATAGACTGCTAAAGATGGGTAAGTTTTGATTTTATTGATGATTTTATTGATGATAAATATTCTTGGATCATCTTGATTCCTCTTTTTTTTGCATTTACCCTCTAAAATGGAGGTCTTCAGCAAGGGGTCCGCAACCCCTTTTGAGTCCACGGAGGTATTGTCTGGGGTCGCAAAAGTTTTGGTTGATTAGACTTTGTTTTTATACTATAGGACCAGTTTGATGTAACACATTTTCATATATCATGGGCGTAGGTTTGCATAGTGACCATAGGTACATGTCCCTACCAAAATTTTGGACCGACCTACTTGTCTCTACCAACAATTAGATGTGAATAACCTGTTTATAATTTACAATACAGCTTTGTTGCAGCAGTAGAGGAGTTCTGGATGGAGAATATTGAGAGACGAAAATATTTTTTGTTTATATATATATTTTTTACAATTTTAGTATAATTCCTGCTCTAAGTGGGTGGCCCTGTGAGTTAAAGACATGTTTTAGAGTCTCTATAATCAGTTAACAATTAATCGATTACAGGTACTACATTTTTTGACATTCCAATAATCGATTATTCAGATTAATTGTTTCAGAGCAAGATAAAATATATGATATGGGTTAAATAGAGTAACTACACCCTAGATAACTTGTAGAGTGAAATTAATATTCAAAATGCTCAGTGTCAGTTCCAGTGCTCATGTAAATACAATAGATTTATTTGGTGTCCTTTGAATCCATTATTTCCACATATAACAGACATATAACAGACATATTTAGACTATATTTTCGTAAATAGGCACAGATTTACTTTCTGTCTCAGTCGCAGGTAATTTCAAATGCAAACCTTTTCAAAGTGGAAAAAAGTCCTTATTCCTCATTCATCAGAGCCGATGATGCTCCAAACGTTGATAAACAGCATCTAGTGGGTGGAGTGCTTATGAAATTTTTACAAATGTAGCAGGAAATGCTGCTTTGCTCTTTAAACAAAATACACCCTGATTTTCACGTCAAGCATAAAAAAACGAGCATGCATATTTTTGCATAGGACCAATGACATCAGATCAATAGTGTCAAACCTACGCCCTTGCAATATATATATATATATATATATATATATATATATATATATATATATATATATATATATACATATAATCCTATATACGTCTTGGGGTTACTTGGCGTGGAAAACGTTCAAGACCTCTGTTCCAAAAATAATGAATAGCAAAATATATTCTAAGCACGGCTATATACTTTTCAAATACCACTCTTTTAAAACTTTTAACGCGAGGCCCTATCTTTATTTAGATCAAACGCAGGAGGAGCTTTACGGCTCCAAGGTGTACTGTGTCTTTAAGAGTTTCATATGTCGAAGTTCACTCGGTAATTTCCGTCCTCAGCCAGCCGGTGGTGTCAGTCACCAACAGTGGAGACTTCAAACCTTTCCGAACATACCCTTCACTGTTGAACAGGGTAGGTTTAAAATATGTAAATGCTTCTGCGTAGCTCTACATGTGTGTAAAAAAAGCTGCTTATTGTTGCGTAAAGCGTTCAACACACTGACTGGTTTTCGCTTAGAATCGAAGCAGGCTAGAGGTTTGCTAATTTTAGCAACTCCGAGGCTGGCTGGCATGCTACCATGGAGCTAACACGACTAGCTAGCGTCATTTGTTAAAAAAATACAATTTTAAAACACTGGCATTTTATTGTCATGACATATATAATAAGCATACATTTGCAGATCTTTGCCGTATGTTTATTTTATGTAAAAAACTGCTGAAATAACGATTTGATCCTGAATTAATTTCTTTGTTTACAAATGTAGCATTCGCATTGTGTAACGCTGTTGTTGGTTAGCTCTTACACGTTGAATAACATTAGTTAAATGCAATACACAAAGTGACAAAAAGCATTTTAACAGCTGGTGATAATGGAATGGAGGTTCAAATGGAGCTGCCTAGTTTAACATAAACCCGAATGTAATTGCTTTTATGGTTGGGACTGATAGAAATTGTTATTCATGAATGGGTGTGTTGAAATACAGACTTTAAATCTGAGTTAAAAAATGATTAAATGTGCATCATTTATGAGACAAATAAAAATGAAGATTTAATAGATTAATTGAAATGTCAAAACTATATATTTAGCAAGTCAAAATGCACATAAGTCTAAGTGTTATATTGTTGGGTCTTATGTGTATTATTCATTTGTTTATATATTTGTAACAGTGCTTGTTCTAGATTTTTAAATGTAATTAAAACTGGTTAGTCAGTAAACTTTCCTGCTATTTTGGTGACAGTGATCAATACCATGTCTAGGAGGGAGTGTTATTCTTCTCTCTCACTGTGCAAAAACAAATGTCAACTACTTTGTAGTATGTCTTCTTTTTTTTTACTCATTTATATGGTAAATGCATCCCTGCAGTGCAAGTGCAATAATACAAGTCAACTACTGTGTAGTCTTTCCTTAGCTCTTTACTGTGTAGTTATTTTCATCTCTAAAGAAGCATATTCCAGGACATTAAAATTTTTCTTATGCTCTTGTCTGTTGTATTTTTATCTTTAACGGCATCTTGCTTTAACTTTTTGTACTCTATATAAGCCACTGGAACCAATATTTCCCTGAAGGAGTAATCCCAA